ATCCATGATCAGTGATGCTGTGATTCTCTGGGACAAGATTACACCAGCTGAAGACATCCTGGGAGGAACAAACATCTACTCAGTTCCTCATTGTTCTTGGATTGTTACATCTTGTTTACGAGGATGTACTGAACTCTCTGTTAGTCATTTGTTACATTTGTTTCTCCCGATGTACTGAATAAAAGGTGCGTTTCGTCTTTGCTGCCCAGAGCAGCACTGATCAGACCCCAAGGTCAGCTTCTTCTCAGTCTCATTTTTCTACCTTTCCTGTAATTTGCCTTGTGCTGCTGAGGCTCACAGGGGACTAGGATTTAACTGCAGAGGTTCTAGTAACATCCCCTTTCCCTGTTCCCTATACCAAACGTTTACCTTTCATGGTCATTTTGACTTTAGGGAAGAGCCAGAGGTTACACAGTGCTGGATCTAGTGAATAAGGTAGCTAAAGACACATTGTATGCTTTTACCAGCCTGCCTTTCTGTTGGATGGCACTGAGCAGCAGCATTTACCGTATATTTTTTTTAATCACACCTTGTAAAGACACTCAGGAAAGAGGACTTCCAGAACTGCTTCAGAAAGTGTCAAGAATGATGGGATTAAGTGTGTTCAAAGAGAGGGCCATATTTTGAGGGGGCTAAATGGTAATGTGTCTTTTGCGGTAATAAATTTAAGAAAATTTTAAATATTCACCATATATTTTGATCACATCTTGTACATATAAAATGTTCTTTCCTTGCCTTTGAAATGCCTCAGGAAACAAAAGCTCAATCCTACTCTAAAACCTTTTATCTGTGACATGAAGAGAGTAGACATCTTCAAAATATTAAGTACTCTCTATAGGCTTCTGATCTGAGTAACTCATCTTTAACTTCTTATTTCTACCTTTGGTATTTGCTAATTCCTTTCATCATCATGGGCTTTATTATCATCAATTCTTTTTTATTAAAAATTAAAATTTATACATTTTTTAATTGACACCTATTAATTGTGCACATTTATGTGGTACAGTGTGATTTTCAATATGCATAATGTGGAATGGTCAGATGAGAGTAACTGGCACATTCATTACCTCAGGCCTTGTGTCAGTCACTTTCCTATCAGTGGGACAAAATCACTGACACCCACAATTTAAAGAAAGAGAGGTGTTTTTGGCTCACAGTTTCCAGTGGGTTTAGTCCATGGCTAGCTGGCTCCACAGCAGAAATGCATAATGGGAGAGCCTGATGGAGGACAGCTGTCCATCCCAGGGCAGCCAGGAGGCAAAGTGAGATGGAAAATCTGGGGTCAAGAATATACCCTTCTAGATCAGGTCCCCAATGATGAGGTTCCCAGTGACCCTCCCACCAGGCTTACCTCTCAAGAGCACATTCAGGATTAATCCACTCATGAATACAATGCCTCTGACCCAATCATCTTCCAAACACAGACTTTGGGGGACATTTTAGATGCACACAATAACAGACACTTATATTTTTGTGTGTTGGGAACATACAAAATCCTCTCCAGCAGCTAGTTTGGAATATACAATAATTGCTGCCAACCATAGTATAGAGCATTGGAAGTTATTGCCTGTTCAGCTCTTGTGCACCCATTAATAATCCTCTCTCCTCCTCTCCAGGCTCTGGTAACCACTATTTTTTCTTCTATGAGACCACATTACTCAAAAAAAAAAAAGAGACCACATTACTACCCACTCCTAATCAAGCTTCAGTTGTACAAAACCTTCCTTTGCATTAGAGGGAAGCTGTTTTGGAAGACATTTTCCAGCCTTCAGGGAAAAGCAACGTCTGGAACAAAACACACTCAAAGAACATTAGAGGCATTGTGGGATGCTTTCGATTTTTTCCTATTTCTTGTCTGATTCTTTTTCATGCTGAAGTTTGCTTCCTTTGTTCTCAGCAATGCATTGACTTATTCTCATGTACTTTGATTTAAAAAGAATCAGGTTACTAGATTGGCATGAGACGGTTCCGCATGTGGAGGGGCTCTTGAAGTAGTTTCATCACTTACCTCTTTTCTGTTGATGAACTCATCACAGCCAAGTTCTGTCAAGGATCGGTCGCTTCAGATGTAGTCAGAGCTGAGGTAAATGTGGAATATCAGAGTCTGTCCTCTGAGGATTCCTGTTATTCCGCATCAAACGCTGCTTCCCTTGCTCAGCAGGCTTCCACAAATTGCCTGCGGCCTTCTTCCAGCTCCTGTATTCTGCCTAAAGCAATGGGGTAATTAATTCCTAAGACAATAATAGTAAGTGGGTGATGGAGGTGGGGTTTGGCAGTGCAGCCCAGCCTGGGCCAGTCAGGATCCTGGAGATGGAGGTGTTCTTATCACCTTCTGCAGGCCTTCAACACTGGAACTTCACTGGACTCCTCTGGCTGCACCACACCACATTCCACACTGACTTTCCGGCCTCCCTTCGTCTGCTTGATGTCCCTGTGGAGCAAGCAGAGCCTCTACCCGAACAATGGGAAGAACAGAACAGAACAACTGTGGGGTGCATATCCCCTAGCACACCTCTGAGGACATTTTTGTGCCTTGTGCAAATAAGAGCGAACCTATTACTTGACTACTTTAAAAAATCTACGAAAAGAAAACAACAACATAAAGACAAAGAGAGAGCGTGTAGCAGGCCAGGGGGTGGATGTTGCCCTGGATGGGTGCCCCTGCAGGGCCTGCCCCTGGCTCCTGCTGTAAGTTCCAGGTTCAGAGCTGCTGGCAAGCTGATGCTCAGCATTCGCTCGGGTTGTGGCTGCTATGCTGGATCCTGTTGAGGGGCCAGAAGCAGGGTGTTCCTTAAGGCCTCTCTCCTGCTTCCCCCACAGGTATTCCCTAAACGAGGGGCTGCCACTCTGAGCACCGATATAAGGAAGAATCAGCTGCCAGGGAAAGCACATAGGTACAGTGCACCTGCAGGGCCTCTATGGCAGGTAGGCCTGTGTTAAGTGCTGTGCCTTCTCCAGAGAGATGTGCCTTCTGTCCTCCTTCACCCTGGACTTGGTGACCTTCAGTAGAAGAGAGCAGGGCTGGTCATGTGCAGAGTGAAGGCAAGGACTATCGGGTCCCCAAGGGAGCTGGGGGTGCTGCTGGGTGGTCTTCAGGACATTGACCGCTCATGGGCGATCCAAGAGCACAGCTAGGGTTACCTGCACACCAGGTATTTCCTAGCACACACCACCCACCTCTGTGGAGCCTGCTAAGGCTGCAGAAGCCAGCAGTCAGCTGTACTGCTGGAGTCAGGGCTGGGGTCCCACAATGGGAGACCACGTCAGCCTTCCCATGCCCCTTCTCCCTCTCCCTTTGCTCTCTCTCTTGCAGCACCACTGTTGCATCACAGGAGTTGTAGATGCTGTTGACTTTGTGCTTGACAAGGTCTATGAGGGGCTCAATTGGCGTTTTGGCTAGAAGGGCCAGGAATGGACTTTCATGGTCCACTTCCATCCCAGCTGAATCACTGACACTTTGGAGTGGAAACACCCTGGTAAGATCCCACTTAACTTGGGTTTTGTTCTGCATTGAGCCTGGATGCCTGACTCTTTCTGAATTCTCTGGACGTTAGGGTGTGGCAGTCTATGGAGACGTTTCAGGAGCAGGGGGTGGTAACAAACTCTGAGCCGGTCCACCTGGGCTTCTAGCTCTGCCCTCCACCCCCTGGGTGGCATGTGCACATTGCTTCACCTCTCTGTACTCCAGTTCCTCACCCGGCAGGGATAATAATAGAAGACAGTTCAGGAGGTCTTGGGAATGAAATGGGATCATGCTTATAGAGTGGGCCCAGCCTTGGGCACAAATGAACTCAGGAGTCATGTGCACAGATTTGATTCCTCCTGAGGGCTGGGAAGGGTGTGGTTCCTACCCAAATCCCTGAGCAAAATCATCCTTGAGTTTCCTCCCTTCCCCTTGCTTCTGTGGGCAGAGCTTTCCTTTAAAACTCTGAAGTGTGTTCTTTACAATTAGTGAATTGAATTGGATGAATCACTAAACTACTTTATTAAATTCGACGATGACAAATGCCACATGGCCTTTGTTCCTTCAGCATGTGCTACTCAGGAGGTCAGCACATAGCTGGCCATGTCTTTATTCTGCACACAGGGACAGGGGTTTGGGTCCTTCTGGGTGAGGCTGGCTTGACCCTCAGCAGCCCTGGGCACGGCTGGGCAGCGGCTGTTAAGGGCTCCTGTGACCAGGACTCCTGCCACTGCACCCTGGTGGGACGTTTTCCTTCCCCTGGGACAACTCTGCGAGTGCTTGGGGAGGATGCAGATCTCTGAGTGTCCCCCTGCTGACTCACCTGTGGTTTCCATTCCCAGAACCTCTTCTGCTGTGTTTTGGTTTTGGGGGAATCATGTGCTCTCCTTGTTTCTCCCACAGCTGAGCTGAACCTGACCTCACTCCTCTGACCACACCCAGACCTTCCCAGGAAACATTCTGGGTTCAAAATATGCAATTTTCTCACTTGTGAGAAAAGAGATGAAGAGCAACATGCCATTTTGCATCACTTTGCACATTTTTAGTCGAATGAAAACATTGACACATCAAAACCAACCTTCCACTTAGCTCACCTTTTAGAAACTATGAAATCTAGAGACAGGCTGGTGCCATTCTACCTCTGGTCTCTGCCTGGCCTAACCTATTCCCTGAATCATCCCAGCTGCCGGCACATGACTTCTTGCCCCGCACTTGCCTCCTTCTAGGCACTGTGCAGGGCAGGCCTTTCCCTTTCCCTTTTCCTTACCTTTTGGCACAACACCCCAGCTTGATGGTGAACCCCTGGGGAGAGGAATTAAACTTTGACCTTCTAAAGGTTTTGTAAAAGCAAGTCATGCTCACTGTAAATTAAAATATGCAAAACATAGCCAAGTGCAAGGAGGAAAGTATCAGTTGGAATCCAGTCCTCCCGAGACAGTGCCTGTGGTGTTGGCTGTGACATCCAGTACCCGGTGATTTGCATACATGGGTATACAAATGGGATCGCTGAAGTAGGACTCACTGTAGTGGGAACTGAGCAGGCCTGGGTGGTGCTTTGTTATTTCTCTCCTATTTCTTTTTCTTTCCAACCCTAGAGACAAAGTTATTCATTTCTTTTTTCTCTTGGATGGAGATCGAACCCAAGAGCTCACACATCCTTGGCAGATAAGTGCTCTACCACTGGGCTGCACCCCTAGCCTCTGGGGACAAGTTTTTAGCATAATTAGTAAGAAGAAAGTACTCTAATAACCTTTGATTGATGGCATTGCGTGTCCAGCTCACGTTTCTAGGGAGACAGAATGACAGCTGTACATGAACACAGGCTCAGAGTCTGCCAGGGTCTGCAAGCCTGGCTGTGTCCGGCTGGCCCTGGGCAAGTACCACAAAGCCGCTGCCTCATTTCTTTATCTCTAAGATGGGGATCATCATAGTACCTGCCTCATACATTTGTACTAGGTCAATCGTGTGCCACCTGTGTTCAGTCACTGACAGACAGAGCAGATCAAGGTATGTATCCAATAGCTTTGGTGTGTAGTGGGCAGTGCCATCTAGGAGTGTGCAAGTGTCCTCTATGTTGGTCTAACAATGAGGAAATCTACTAACGATGCTCTTCTCAGAATGTAGCCCATGGCTAAGTGATGCATGATTGTACTTGATCATGTTTTTGAAATTTAATTTCTAAAACTTGATAAATGAAAAATGTGTATATTTATTATATACATGAAGGTTTGAAACGTATATATTATGGAATGCTCAGTTGATCAAATTAACATGTGCATGACCTCACATAATTTTTTTTGGTTACTTACTTAGCAATTTTCTTTTTTTTTTTTTTAGTACCAGGGATGAACTCAGGACCTTGTTACTTAGCAATTTTCAAAAATAATACATTGTTATTAACTCACCATGTTGTACAACATCAGTTGTGTTTTCAGCAGCACCTGGCCTGTGCCAAGGATTTGATGAGTGCAATGTTGGCTCCTGATTAATGTGCAAAGCCCTGGAATCTGGGAACAAAGGTCAGGGCCCTGGTCACTCAGGCAGCACACACAGCTCACAAAACAGTGAGAGCCTCCTCAGATCAGTGCATCTCTCCACTCCCAGGGTGGGACTGATGAAGGGTACTCAAGCCAGCTGGGGCTGGGGCTGGGGCTGGGGCTGGGGCAGAACAGCGTTCTCCTGCATGCGCACTGACCTTCTCACCTGGCCCACTTACCCAACTGTACTTGCACCGTGTGCTGGGAGGTGCTGGTGGCTGCAGGAGAGCAGCCAGGGCTCTGTTGTCTTTCTGTTGTCTTGGGCCTCTGGGTCTCGCCCTGCACAGCCTCCCATGAGGGGTGGGGAACATTGTGTGCTGGTGAGTTTTACGCCTGAGCACCTTAGGCAGTGCACACTTCCTGGCTCTGCCTCTTTTGGTACTGGGGATTGAACTCGGGACCTTGCGTTTTCGAGGCAGGCGCCGGAACCACTGAGCTAAATCCCCAGCCCCTCCCTCTCTCTTCTTATTGCTGCATTCTTGGCTTCAGCTCAGCGATCCCCTGGACCTTTTGCCTCCCCTGTTTGTGCTGTCCATCTTTGTGGCACACATCATGAGCCTGAGGACTGTCACCAATGCAACAAGGAGCTTGGAAGTTTGCTTGTGTCCAACAAGGAGGGATCATCACTTGCTTTGTTTCTTGGTCCAGATCAGAGAGAGGAGAATGAGAGGAAAGAGAGATCATGTAAGACTTTAATTGTACCCAGACAGGTTTTTAGATAGCGTTCACTCTTAGAAGATAGCTTGCAAAGGGCTAAACAAAGTGTTCTCTTCCAGGCCTCAGGGTAACAACAGGGTATTCATCCACATCCCCAGTGTTCAATTCTACAGCAAGTTCCCGAGTCTGCTGCTTGAGTTGGATTCTCTCATTCTGCCAGCCTCTGGACAGATGAAACAATCACATCACTGCTAAAGACAGCCATAGTGAGACCGGAGATTAGGACATGGCACAGTGGCTGGACAGTTGAGTGTGACCTGTCAGTCACAGAGACCTGTCTGTCACATCCAGCTGCCCTGTGTGGGACTGCCCAGATGTGACATCAGAAGAGGTATAAAAGATGGCAGCCATTAGCCACATGGCTGTCATGAGCCCAACCCTGTACTCTGTGGGCAGACTTCTTTTCCTACTTTAACTGGCCCATACTTGCTCTACAAATATACTTCTTTTTCCTTGTTTTCCTACCTCTGATGCTACCTTCAATAAATGTTAAAATTTTACGTTCTTCATTTGTTCTAATTCTTGAGACAGGACAATAAGAGCCTGGAAAGGACCACCGGTCACTACCATGCTCAATAACAGTGGGGCAAGGAGTTCCAGACAACACCTGATCAGTGTGATATTTGGCCCTGGGGACACACGGCTGAGGTTCAGCTACAAATGTCCCTTCCTAGTATTTGGCCGTTCCACAGGTAGGGAGGTCTCCCTGAGTGAAAACATGGTTAGGGTGTTGGAACATCACCTGGGCAGGTGAGTCAGGCAGGGAGACAGAGCTCTGGGCTGCTTCTGACTTTGAGCAAACAGGCTGGCTATGTTACCCTCAGCAGGTCCCTTTAAGCTCTTAGTTTTGCTTTTTTTTTTTTTTTTTTAACACTAGGAGTAGTAAACTGCTCCAGATGCTGGAAATCGCTGCCTCCAGTGATTACATTTGGGTTACACCTGGGTTAAAGGTTCTGTCTTGTGTTCAGCAAGTGTTTTTCTTGCTGTTTGACCACAAAACTCCCTTTTTGTGGTGATTGTGGTGATGATGGATAAGGGTATTTTGGGAAATCCCGGCCCAGGGGTACTTCATGCTCTGAGACCCTGAGATGTGAAAGTGGTTGCCTGTGAGGTGCACATTGTAACCTTGGCCTGGGTGGACTCTGCTCAGTGCTCCATTGTAAAGCTTCATTGTAAAGCATCTGCACTCACTGTGGTTCCTCATAGGTGTGGAGCAAAAGACAGCACCTCTGAGTCTCCTCTGTCTTTAAACCTCCTTTGCTGTTCCAGCAGCCCCGAGGGCCCAGCTCTCCCTGCCCTCCCTCCAAGCAAGCAAACCCCAGCTTCTGCCCTTCCTCTGCACCCTCTCCTTGGTTTTGCCCTTAGGGAGCCAGGCTTAGCTGAGCAAGTGGCCAGCAAGAGGAGAGCAGGATTGCTCCTGCTGCTCCTCTCTCCCATGCCACTCTCCCAGCTTGAAGCCAAAACCATCCCACTCTGACCTGAAGTCACCCACGACTACCTCCTCAGGCTTATTACTTTCTGTGGTTTGAAAGAAATGTTCTTTAAAAATCAAAATGCATTTCTGTAGCTTTTTCAGCCTTCAAAGTCTTTGCTCATGATCTTACTTGCCGTGAAGTCCCCAGTCTGGACAGGCAGTGATCAGAGACATGTTGCACAGACCCTGCAGCCCACAGAGAAGAGGCAGGAACAGTCTGCCCTTGTTATGGAAGCAGCAGGAGACTGGCTGACCATCGAGGACTCCTGGCTCTCCTATCTGCTGGAGCCATGGGGTCTGAGAGCTTCAGCCAGTGCATCAGTGACCAGGGATGTCATGGGAGATGAACCTGTGGCCTCCTCACATGCAGTGTCCACCCTCTTCAGCACCTCCATGCACCCTGGGGCTTATACATGGCACCTTTTGGTTTGTTTGCTTTAAATCTTTCAGTGTAAACAGAGTGATTACATAACCTTCTCTTGTAACTTTTATAGGGTTGAAAAAAAAAGACTCAGAAAAAAAACAATGGATGTTCTAAGTCGGGTGTGTTGAGATGTTTTGATTAGCATGTCAAGCACTATTGCAATCCTTGGCTGTCCACCCTTAGCCCTGCTTCTGGGGACAGAGATTCGAGGTTGGCACTTTGCATCAATCAGTTCTGCAATGCAATGGCACTCCAGGGCAGGAACTCTTGATACTCACAACAGCCTTTCACTGAAAGTTCACATAGAAAAATTTCCCATTAATTAAAACCCATCAACTAGGAAAAATGTTTTTCTCATAATTTTTGGTGAAAATTTCTTTTGTCACTTTTTAAATAAAAATTACAAAGGCAGCCTACAGAAAATAATACAGGGGACAAGGAGAAAATAAAAACGAACCACAATCTTATCACCCAGAGATACGTATCTACTTGTGACATTTTGTTATTTTTCTTTCCAGTTCTCAATATATGTACATATATGTGAAACTTTATCATTTTGGAATTCATTATGTATGTGATTTTGTCCTGTAGTTTTCCACTTAACACTGAATCATAACTATATTTGCCATCATTATTCTTGAAATGCCATATTGAAGTTTTGACAGTATATGCAACCTTATGGATGCTCCATACTTATTTAACCCTTCCCATACTATGGAACACAGGCACTATTGCCAGCTCTTTACAACTACACATAAAGCTTCAGTGAACAACTCTGCAAAAGAAGCCCAAATTTCTGACTTGCTCCTTCCAGTGGTTTGCCAGGAGGGTTGTTGCAGGGAAGGATGTAAATTCCTTTTTTAAGGCTCTCAACTCATGTTGTCAAGTTGCTTTACAGAATGGTTCTGCCAAGGACGTATGGCAGCCTCAGCGGGGAAGGGGGAGGCTCTGGAGGTGAGAAGAGTCCATGTTTGCCTTTCACATTCTCCTGTGATTCTGGAAGTGGGGAGAGACTTGTTACTTAGGCCAGAAAGGAAGAAAAAAAATGAATGAATATTGAGGATTTACCTTGTGTGAGCCCTGTAGAAAGAACAATATATGGTATCATGCCTGGGGAGAAGATCTTTCTAGAACATCCCACATACTTTCTTGGCTTCTTAATGGTTTTATTAAAGTCTTTATTATTTTCACTTTTTTTTAGAGCATCTGTGTTTTAGGTAAAAGCCATATCAATGACCCAGGTGTGGTGCAGGCCCCAGGACACCAGCTTTTGTTACTTCCAGCTTTTCTCTCTACTGAACCCTCAGCCAGCAGGCTAGATGCTCCCTCCGAGGGACGTCAAAATTGTCGCTTTACACATAATTCTAAGTATGCAGAGTCCAAGGAAGGCAGTCCTTAGGGTGTCTAGACAAGGAGTGTCAGCTTGCTGAGGTGAATTTATTTTTCTTCAGGTTCAGAGCCATTTTTTTTCTTGCTAACTGCTGAGTTCAGAGCCTCCTGGGTGATTCTGAGTGTTGGGGAAGTCGAACATTATGATTCTCAAGTTTAGATTTATTTCTTTAAAAAAACCATAAAACAGATTTATAGAAATGTCTTAGCTAAAGGCATGATGCTGGCAGCCAGCATAGCCTCAGGCAGGGTTGGTGATGTCTAATGAACGGATCAGAGAGGCTGCCCAACTCCCTCCAGGGCCAAGCCCTCTGGACTGCCCATCACCACCTTCTCTTGGAATATCTCAGGGTCCAGGACCCCCTGAAGACAGGGTCATATGTGAGACCCTCCAGACTCTTTCTCCCAGGGCCCTGGCCTCCAGAGGCACCAGCAGGAAAGGGAGAAGTAGTCTGTTCTGCACGCCAGAGGGTGGCGCCATGGAGCAACAAGCTGGAGTGTCCTTTGCAGGGATTGAGTTGGGGCTCCAAGTGGTCAGTGATACATAGTTCTTCATCTACATGAGGGAGTAGAACTGCCCATCTCTTAAGCGGCTCTGATCATTTATCGAAAGACCATATATTGGAATGGTGGAAAAAGCTTACGAGGTGCGGGATGCAAGTTAACTTCCCAGTGACTCACCCTGAAGAACAATCAACCGAGATACACAAGACACATGATTCTATGGAGGAGTTTCAGTGTACTGGGAACGAGGTGGTCGGACCATGAGCATGCAGTGGGGCCACTCCTCCACATGGATGGCTCTGCCCCTCCTCATCCTGGGGCCCAGGTTTCCCTTTCTTATTCCTACCCCACCTGTCTTCTCTGCACTCTTAACTGCTGGCTTGGCATAAAGGCCCTGAGCATTGTGGCTGTGTGTCCAGTGCTTAGGGAGCAGAGGAGTTCCCTGGGGAGCCTGGGGACTGACAGGGAGCCCAGCCACATGCAGGGCAAGGTAGTCAGGTAGAGGAAGGTTCCAGAAGCCTAAGGCCATGTTAGGTAGTAGAGATGGGGCCATGCCCCCTTCTGCCCCTGATGTGAGGAGACTCTGGCAGTGCCAGGGGTCCCAGTCTTGGGAGCAGGCAACTTGCCATGCCCTGCCACTCAAAATGTGGAGCAGCCTTTGGCTCGCAGCCCAGGCCCAGTCTGCTGGTGTGACCCACAAGACAGAGCTGTGTGATAAGAGCTGGCCACCCCTTCCGTGATGATGATGGGGCTGGCCGGCCCCACAGTCCCTGGCTCACTGGACTTGTGACAGCCAGCACTCACGCAGGGAATGGGCCTTGCTTTGTGCCTGGCCTGTGGCCGACCTTCTGCAGACAGGAGGCTGTCGTTTGTGGGCCTGAGTTTCAGGATGCCGATTTCTCAAGCAGTGCCTGTATTGTGCCAGTCTTGGAAGATGTTTTGTAAAGCAGTCTTTGTCAGGATGTCACTTTGCACAGCTCTTTTAGGGCCCAGAGGTGCGACCCTTCTTGATGTTTGCTGAGGTTTCTTAAAGGAAATCTCTAACCTGCTCTCTGGGGTGTGGCACTTAGCTGGTGGGAACAGACACAGTTTATCTGGCAGAGAAAACTGTTTTGCAAGAGGTTTCCCACAATTACGGCAGGAGGGAGGGTCCCTGCCAGCTTGGCTTAGTCACTTGGGCATAGAGGGAAGGTGGTTTTTTGTTCTTTTTTTTTCTTTTTCTGAAGGCAAGAGCCATCTGGGGGCAGGGCACATAGGGGTAATTACCCTGCAAGGGAGACAAAAGGACTGCTGATTAGCAGTTTTCAGGGCCCTGCAGGTGGCTGATGGCTTTTGGTGGAATGTCACAAAGTACCCTGCTGTGGGTGTGAGTCAGAAATCCTTAGGTCACTTGTGGTTTTCTTTCATGGTTTTGCTGTGACTATTAACTTGTTTTTACTTAACAAGAACAACAGGTGTTTGGGTGTCTGTTTGAGCCATGTGCCCTGCTCCCAGCAGCTTACTGGGGTTACGAGGTGGCCCCAGTTTGGCAGAGAATGAATTTATAAACTGGAAGTAAACTGCAGCCAGCAAAGCCTTTAGGAAGCCGGAAGTGAGTCTTCACGAAAACCTGGGCATCCCTGGGCACAAACACTGAGCCTGGTCTTGGTGGCTTTCAGTTGAGCTGGGGGCCAGGCAATC